GAAACGCCAAGAGCAAGAACAGGTATACAAGAGATATGATAGTAGTTGTTTCATAATTTGTAATTCATAGCTCAGGGTGGCATCTAAACCTGTTTAGAAAAGGATCGTCAAAGATGAATAAATTGGCCATCAAGAACTACGAGATTTTGTATCACTGTTGATGATGCTCTGTATAAGGCTCTGGAGAGTGATTTGACATCATGATACAGAGCTTTCAATCGTTCCGAACCTACACTGTGGGAACGGGAGCAGCGGGGTCTGAGCACGGGCTGGCTCTGGGTACTGAGAAATGGAGTATTTCCCACCGCACCAGTGAACAAGGACATCACAGCATCAGGACTGCAGTCCCCCAGCGTGAGCTGGGGAGCCCGAAAGGCACTTAGGAAGGACAGGAACACTTGCGACCCAGCAGTCCTCAGACTGCAGCCAGCCCTCAGGAGCACCCTACGGAGATCGGGGTGTGGAAAAACACAGGGAACTGGCCTGATAGCGGAGGTGCACATGGAAGGAATGACTTCAGGGAGCCCAGACTCCTGCATCTTCCCACACATGCAAAAGCGCTGAATTCTTCAACTTGAGGTATCTGTTTTCTTTAATTGACAATGCTCTTTTGACATTCAGACTACCTGCCCTTTGTTACAAAACCTCCGTATAACCTGGCTCCTCCCCTCACCTCCTGGAGCCGGTCTCTCAGGCTTACTTGAGATGCTGCTTCCTGGGCTCGTTGTTGGTCAGTCTCTCAGTCGTGTCTGACTCTTTGCGACCCCATGGACCACAGCATGCCAGGCCTGCCTGTCCATCACCAACTCACAGAGTTCACCCAAACCCACGTCCATCGAGTTGATGATGCCATCCAACCATCTCATTCTCTGCCATCCCCTTCTCCTGCTTTCAATCTTTCCCAGCATCAGGGTCTTTTCCAATGAGTCAACTCTTCACATGAGGTGGCCAAAGTATTGGAGTTTCAGCTTCAGCATCAGTCCTTCCAATGAACACCCAGGACTCATCTCCTTTAGGATGGACTGGTTGGATCTCCTTGCAGTCCAAGGGACTCTCAAAAGAGTCTTCTCCAACACCACAGTTCAAAAGCATCAATTCTTCGGCACTCAGCTTTCCTTATAGTCCAACTCTCACATCCATCCATGACTACTGGAAAAACCACAGCTTTGACTAGACAGACCAGTCTTAAAAATCTCCCCGAGTAAAGCATAACGCTCAGCTTCTAGGCTGTGTTTGAAGGGGGCAGTATCATACTCCTGTCTGACTGCAGCATGGCTCTCTGTCTTTCCACCTCGTGTGTCTCTGTGGGCTCTCAGCGGCAGAGGTCTAGCCCGGGCTCGTGGGAAGAGCCTAGAGACTGCTCATCAGTACTTTCTTGGCAGGCTTTCCTTACTCTTCTTGTGGGATCTAAGGCTGGGTGGCTAGCTAAATGTATAAAATTAATGAATTAATGTGTAAGATGCATGTATAAAATCAATGAATTAATGTATTTAATTTAACTAATTAAAATAAGCATATAACTAAGCTCATGAAATTTACTATTGATTATGAAAGTCTTTGTCCTCAGGGGCATTTTTGGTGGGTCTAATTAGAAGCAGCCACGGCTTGCGGTGGAAGAACACGACTTTCCCGACAGGGCCCATTTCCTCCGCCCCAGAACAGGGTTCTGCCCTAAGAGGGTCGGAGATGCAGACCAGGAGCTTGGATGAAGCTGTTCAACCACCTGATGTTATTAGGAAAAAAGGGAGGCAATGTATTCAATGGTAGGTGATTACTTAACAATATTTCCACATAATGGATATTGTGCAGCTTTCAAAGTACAGTTTCAATGAATGTTTTTCCACTTTATGTTTGGTTTTCTCAGTGATACCCAAGTTTTGAATGGTTATGAAAAGCTTCAGCCCCTCTTTTCCTTCCATCTTCCTTTTTCCCAAAAGGCACACTAGGTGAAATTCACCTTCTATTAGAAAAGATTATAAGGGATGGGGTATCAGGGGGAAAAGTCAAATTCCAGGTAATTTAATGTGTGGAGCTGGAACAGGCATACCAGGAAATCATTGAAAATATGGGGTTAAGTAGTCATGTAACTTGATGAATTTTCAAAAATCAGGCATTAAAACTGTAACTGTTTTGACAACTGAATTTAGTTCTAATACAGAGAAAAGAAAATAGTCTGGCATCTTATTAATCAATTCAGTTATTAATACATTCAGTACTCTGGAGGAAGCATTACTGATTTAAAACTTTGTCATGTTCAGAACGAACTCAGTTGCATGAAGGAGAATCTTTGCAAGCACACTGTCTTCCCCCAGGATGGATATTAGGATATGATGGTTTTGTATGGTTCAGATGGTAAAGAATCTGCCTGCAATGCAGGAGACCCAGGTTCGATCCCTGGGTCGGGAAGATCTCTTTGAGAAGAAGATCTCTACTAGAGAAGATCTACTGGAGAAGGCAGCCCGCTCCAGGACTCTAGCCTGGAGAATCCAATGGACAGAGGAGCCTGGCGGGCTACAGTCCAAGGGGTCGCAAAGAGTCGGACATGACTGAGCCACTAATACTTCCACTTTCCTTCCCCTAGGATGGAAGTTAGGATGCGATGGCTTTGTATCCCAGCTGTATGGGGCCCTGGAAGAAGATGGCCACTTCAGAGGCCCTCCTGTGCCCACACGCACTCTCAGTCTTCCCCTTCCTCTCTCGGGCCTGGTGAACTCAGGGAGAGCCTCTCTGCAGAGCTTGCTGTCCCTTGGGCCGCCTCCAGGTTTGAGGCCCAGGCCCCGCCTGATCCTGGATTCAAACTTCACAGGAGGTGACAGCCCCCTCCAGCTCCCAATGACCTGTCAAGGGAGAGGCAGCCTGTGGGCTCCCACAGTAGCACTTCCTGTTCGCTTCCTCTCCAGGCCTCCTTCCTCCTACATCCCAAATGAGAGGGCTTTCATTTTATTGGAGTGGTGTGCGCTAAGTCACTTCAGTCACGTCGGACTCTTTGCGACCCCATGGCTTGTAGCCCGCCAGGCTCCTCTGTCCATGGGATTCTCCAGCAAGAATCCTGGAGTGTGTTGCCATTTCCTCCTCCAGGGGATCTTCCCAACCCAGGGATCTGACCGTGTCTCCTGCACTGCAGGCAGATTCTTTACCACTGAGTCATCTGGGAAGCCCTTATTGGAGTGGGGGTGAGGCCTAAGGGAGCTAGGTCTGCTCTGTGAGTCCTCTTTTCACATCTTTTCTGCCTTACTCCTTTCAACACCTTTGTGCGCTAATTCTGGCCAGGCTGGGGCTGCTGGAAGGGCCTGAGAGTGAAAGATGCATATGAGACAAGTGCTCAGGGCTGGTGCACTGGGATGACCCAGAGGGATGGGATGGGGAGGGAGGTGGGAGGGGGGATGGGGAACACATGTAAATCCATGGCTGATTCATGTCAATGTATGGCAAAAACCACTACAATATTGTTAAGTAATTAGCCTCCAACTAATAAAAATAAAGGAAAAAAAAATGCAAACTTGTGACAAGTGCCATGAAGGAGACATGCTGAACACTGAGATTTTTCCATAAAAAAAAAAAAAAAGCTAGTAGAGGCGATGGAATTCCAGTTGCACTACTTCAAATCCTAAAAGATGATGCTGTGAAAGTGCTGCACTCAACATGCCAGCAAATTTGGAAAACTCCAACAGTGGTCACAGGACTGGAAAAGGTCAGTTTTCATTCCAATCCCAAAGAAAGGCAATGCCAAAGAATGTTCAAACCACTGCACAATTGCACTCATCTCACACGTTAGCAAAGTAATGCTCAAAATTCTCCAACTGAGGCTTCAACAGTACGTGAACTGTGAACTTCCAGATGTTTAAGCTCGATTTAAAAAAGGCAGAGGAACCAGAGATCAAATTGCCACAACTATTGGATCATCAAACTGGGAGATTGGGATTGACATATATATGACTAGTATGCATAAAAGAGATAACTAGTGAGAACCTCCTGTAAGGCACAGGGAACTCTGCTCCGTGTTCTGCGGGGACCTGAGTGGTAGGAAATAGAAAAAAGAGGGGCTATGTGTATGTGTATATGTATATGTATGGCTGATTCACTTTGCTGTGCAGTAGACACTAACACAACTTTGTAAAGAAATTATAGTCCAATAAAAATTAATAACAAACAAAAACCAAAACAAAACAAACAAAAAAGATGCATGAGGGCGGGTGGTTGTTGTTGCTATTTAGTCACTAAGTCGTGTCCAACTCTTTTGAGACCCCAAGGACCATAGCCTGCCAGGCTTCTCTGTCCATGGGATTTCCGGGCAAGAATACTGGAGTGGATTGCCATTTCCTTCTCCAAGGAATCTTCTCAACCCAAGGACATCCTGCTTTGGCAGGCAGGTTCTTTAGCACTGAGCCACCTGGAAGCATGAAGGGGGGAACCCCAAGCAGTAACATCTCACAAAGCTCATTCTGTGCTCACAAACAGCAGAGATGCTGACGGGGCCTGTGTAGCAGGGGCTGGGTAGGCTGACGCGGGTCTCAGGGGAGCACTAGAGCCTGGCGCTAGGACAGAGAGGCGAGTCTGGGAAGAAACAGGGGCAGAGGTTTGCATCATCAGCAGTGGCAGATACTGGAATTGAGGGGAATTTTAAGGGACGTGTCTGGTATGGAGGTAGGACATATGGAGGTAGAACTCAGTGGACAGAACTTATGCTATGTTTGTGAGTCATTTGTATCACGGCTCTAAAAGTTTCTTTCTTTTCATTTTTTCCCCATTCATTTATTTTAAACGTGTTGTGGTTGGAAACAGATTGCTTATTACTTCTTGGGCTTTAAAGCGTACTTTCCTTTAACCCTGAGTAAATGCCTGGATATTTGAAAAGGCAATTAATTAAAAGCATTAGTAGCTTATAAAATTTTTCTCCCTCTCACACACACACACCCACACGTTGCACACATCCCCTGGACGTCTGAGCAGGTCACACTGAGGGAAGGTCTCTTCAAAATGTGCTGCCGACCGCCGCGGCGATGATGTCCCTCATCGGCAGTGGGCTCACGGGCGCCATCATTGAGTCTGACCGGAAGTTAGAAAAACGAGTCCCCAGGGAAACACGCTGTCTGCTTCTAGTTCCTGATGTAAATGTGTCTCTGGAAATGAATACCGACGTGCGCTATTCCTTATCTCCACGTGGAGACGCACCCCTGAGGCAGAGCGGAGGTCCTGACGGCTCCGTACTCAGCTCGCCTGCCTCGAAGGTGCAGTTCGCGGGGGGCCTCACTCCCGGGGGCTGGGGACCTGAAATGTGATCATTTAGAAAATCTATCCCCTAACTCCTTCCCCGCCCTCATTCAAAGTGTGAGCTCATTGTGTTGAGCCAAGATTCAATAAAGGCAGGGCTTGCCCCACGCCCTGATGAAACGTGCTTTTTGATGTGTAACAGAAATGCATTCACCCCTAGAAACTGGAATCGGGCGATTCTCTTGTAGGGGCTTGTTGGGACAATCCTTTTTTGGAGCAAACCTCCCTGGGAACTGTGCCCGATTCCGGGCAAAAGAACCTGCTCGGTCACATTTGCATCCCAAAGCTGAATATCCTGTCTCACGGGGAAATGAATGAGTTGTGCTAGACTCTTTATGGGAGCCTAAGACGGGGTGGTTTGACCGAGGTAAGAGAGATGAAGGAAGACTTGGAGAAAGAGAGAAGCAGATCCTCATAGGTTTAGAATTATTAAGAAAAAATTGATTTTGGATAGGGAAAATTCTGAATTATAGAATACTTGAAACATAATTTAATGTTTTGAAATATTATGTATATATAAACTAAAATGCCTATGGTTATTAGTCAACCAAATGAAGAGATGAATTTTTTAAAGTCCTATATATTAATATGTCATAAATTTTTTAAAAAAATTTGAACTTTTCAGTGAATGCAAATCACAATACCATATACACATGAGAATAACTTTCAAATGAGTGAAGTCAAAATCAATGGAGCTGTTGTCTTATTGCTAATATTAAAGTAACTATTGCTTAATAATTAAAATGACAACTTCTCAAAGTTCTTGGAAAAGACATTTGAAGGGGTGTTCCCCTTTCCAATGAAACAATTTGAATCCAAAGATCTGTAAGAACATACATTATTGGGAACAGACTCAGATACCAAGAGTGCCAACTCATATGGTAAGTGTAATTTTAGTGTTTAAGTAAACTACCGAACTGTCCTTCAGAGTGGCTGTACCATTTCACATCCCTGCTAGCAGTGTCTGAGATCTGCTTTTCCCCATCCTCATCAGCATTTGGAGTTGTCACTATTTTTCTTATAGTTGTTCTAATATGTGCAGTTCCACTAAATTGTTAATAACGAAACAAAAGCATTATCCTACTGAAAATGCAGTTGTCCTCAAGACTGAATATGAAGTTTGGGGAAACTTGACAAACTCAGGAAAACTTATCCAAAAGAGTGAAGTGGGCTTCCCTGGTGACTCAGTGGTAAAGAATCCATGCAGGAGACACAAAAGTGATATGTACACACACACACACATACACATGTACATGCATGTGCATTCACATGGATAAATTGGTGAATGTATTCTTTTTGAATAAACGTATTACTTTTGTGTCTTTTCTCTTCTTGAGCTGGAGAGGCAGACATTCAAAGGAGGAGAGGGAAGGTGGGGATCTCAGCACGTGAGGAGCCACGTTCCCTCCCCCTGAGTTGGCGCCGTCTTCTGCCTGGCTTCTCATGTTGAGATGTGAGAGGTCAATTGGGCTAGGAAGGTCTTCCTCCTGAATGGAGATTTTGGATCAACTATCACTCGGTCTTTTCTATCTGAATGATAGAAGTGGTGAAAGTCTAGATGAGAGATCCCCAAGCCTCAGAACACTTGAGAAGATATAATAAAATTCATCTTTTTAGGGATGAGGCTCAGAGAACCGTTTTTTATTCAACCAGATTTGGGAAACACTGGTTCCATCCCAATCTTTCTAGGTCTTGAATTTCAGACATTCTAATTAACTGGGGAATTTGTTAAAGATGGAGATTTGGGGACTCCTCCCAGAAATGCTGACTCAGTAGGCATAGGGTGGGGCCCCACACTGGAAACCTCATTTTACAGTCAAACCTGGTGATTCTGTTAACACTGACTCCTAGTTCACAATGTGAGATATAATTCTCAACCCTGGTTACTATTCAGTATTGTCTGGGAAATTTTAAAAAGTAGACATTAGGGCCCCACCCCCAGACCAATTACATCAGATTTTCAGGGAGTATAACTAGGAAACTGACTTTGTTAAATGCTTCCAGGTAATTCTAAATGTAGTTTGAATGAAGAAGATCCTAGCTAAACAAGGGATGTCTATGGTGAGGTTGGCCTTTGATTGTATACTCGGAGAGATTGGTATTTATTTACGATTCAAGATGTTTATTTACACCTCATAGCAGTTGTGATTTCCCAATTTATAGACGAAGAAAACAAAGACTCAGATCAGTTCAGTCGTTCAATCATGTCCAACTCTTTGCGACCCCATGGACTGCAGCATGCCAGGCTTCCCTGTCCATCACCAACTCCCAGAGCTTGCTCAAACTCATGTCGAGTAGGTGATGCCATCCAATCATCTCATCCTCTGTTGTCCCCTTCTCCTCTTTCCTTCAATCTTTCCCAGCATCAGGGTCTTTTCCAGTGAGTCGGCTCTTCACTTCAGGAGCTTCAGCTTCAGCGTCAGTCCTTCCAATAAATATTCAGGACTCATTTCCTTTAGGATAGATTGGTTTGATCTCCTTGCAGTCTAAGGGACTCTCAAGAGTCTTCTCCAACACCACAATTCAAAAGCATCATTTCTTTGGCACTCAGTTTTTTTATAATCAAACTCTCACATCCATACATGACTACTGGAAAAACCACAGCTTTGACTAGATGGACCTTTGTCGGCAAAATAACGTCTCTCTTTTCTAATGTGTTGTCTAGGTTGGTCATAACTTTTCTTCCAAGGAGTAAGTGCCTTTTAATTTCATGGTTGCAGTGATTTTGGAGCCAAAAAAATAAAATTTATCACTGTTTCCACTGTGTCCCCATCTATTTGCCATGAAGTGATGGGACCAGATGCCATGATCTTTGTTATTTGAATGTTGAGGTTTAAGCCAGCACTTTTACTCTCCTCTTTCACTTTCATCAAGAGGCTCTTTAGTTCCTCTTCACTTTCTGCCATAAGGGTGGTGTCATCTGTATATCTGAGGTTATTGATAGTTCTCCCAGCAATCTTGATTCCAGCTTGTGCTTCTTCCAGCCCAGCATTTCTCATGAGGTACTCTTCATATAAGTTAAATAAGCAGGGTGACAATATACAGCCTTGACATACTCCTTTCCCAATTTGGAACCAGTCCGTCGTTCTATGTCCAGTTCTAACTGTTGCTTCTTGACCTGCATACAGATTTCTCAGGAGGCAGGTAAGGTGGTCTGGTATTCCCATCTTTTTAAGAATTTCCCGCAGTTTGTGTGATTCACACACTCAAGGGATCTTGACTTTAGTCTAGTCAAATGAAGAAGTAGATGTTTTTCTGGAATATTCTTGCTTTTTCTATGATCCAACGGATGTTGGCAATTTGATCTCTGGTTCCTCTGCCTTTTCTAAATCCAGCTTGAACATCTGGAAGTTGTCGTTCACTTACTCAATTCTCAGTTCAAGGTTCAGAAAAGCTGTATAATTAATTCAAAATCATACATCTGATGAATTTTGAAACCAACACTGGTTTCTGAGCTCAAAGATCTCTTGTAATACATCTTACTGTCTTCTTCCATTGAAAGGTGCTGTGGAAAAATGAAAACAAGTTTGTTTAACTCAATTTTGGAATTAAAATGAACTGATGACCCAAATTCTTTATATAAGGTATGTTGTTCCGTTGCTAAGTTGTGTCCGACTCTTTATGAACCCATGGACTGCAGCCAGGGCTTCCCTGTCCTTCACTGTCTCCCAGAGTTTTCTCAAGTTGTCCGTTGAGTCAGTGATGCCATCCAACCTACTCATCCTCTGTCATCCCCTTCTCCTGTTGCCTTCAATCTTTCCCAGCATCAGGGTCTTTTCCAATGAGTCAGCTCTTTGCATCAGGTGGCCAAAGTATTAGAGCTTCAGCTTCAGCATCAGCCCTTCCAAATAAGACAAGTATAATGTATTACAAGCTTAAGTGGGTCATGTGAATGTAATGTGATGACTGACTAACCAGTGGGACAGTCTTGTCAGCTGCTGACTTATAGGCATCTTGACCATGGGGAGTGAGGTATGGACGCCCCACAGACATACTAGCAACTTTTGCTGGAGAACCCCTTCTGAGAATACCAGTCAGCTCATCCCAGGCAGGGGGCATTTGAAACAGTTACTGCTTGCTTTCTCTCATCCAGAGTTGCTCTGAATCTCAGCAGAACATTAATTCATGTATAAAAATTGAGGGAGAATACTTAATCTCTTGTCCCCTCCTTTCCAGTGTTTCACAGCTTGTCGGACACAACCTTTGAGGGGTGTGACCTCAGCTGTCATCCAGCCCTCTGCCTTGCCTGTGATGTCACTGACTGCCGCACTCATGGGACTTGGCCTTGATTTGGGGCAGATTCATGCTGACTCCCCAAGAGCTCCCAGTAGCCTGAAGCTTTTTGGACACTGTCATTAACTGCCCCACCCGTGGTTCCCTGACTCACCTGTTAGGGAAGGGACACTAAATAGTATTTCTGGGCTTGCCTGGTGGCTCCGATGGAAAAGCGTCTGCCTGCAATGCTGGAGACCTGGGTTCAATCCCTGGGTCAGGCAGAGCCCCTGGAGAAGGAAATGGCAAACCACTCCAGCATTCTGGCCTGGAGAATCCCATGGAAGCCTGGCCGGCTACAGTCCACGGGGCTACAAAGAGTTGGACACGGCTGAGTGACCTCACTGCCTCTCTTTTAGTTAAATGTAGGACTTGTATATTTTCTGCACTCACATAAGTTTTGAACAAGTGCATTTTTCTTAGCGGATAACCACACAGAAACTTCAGTTTTGAATGTAGACTTTGAGTATGAAAGAGGGACGAGGGTTATTCCAAAAACTGGGAATATTCCAGGTTCTAAGTTGTTCAGTTGTGCTCTGAATGATGGCTAGAGTGTTACTGAAATGTGCTACTTTTATACGGTGCATCATTGCAGCCCAAGTCACTCACCGACGTCTCTATGCCCTGTGTGAATTCCTCTCTCTCCCTTCCCGTGGTCTGAAGTGACAACCTCAACCTGCAGGTGAATGGCAGCCCCTTCTGTCCACCGGCTTCTCTGTGCAGCAAACAATTCTGA